AAAGACAATAAATAATAAAAACTCAGTAAAATACTAATACTCAATAAAACGAATATTCAATAAAACGAGAACTACAGAGACTAGATTACGCGAGCTAGAACCAAATATGTATTTAGGAAATCACTTATATGTACAGTTCCATCTCCAGCTTGTGTTAAAATAATTTTTGTTTTAACTTTTCTACAAAGTTGTTTTGTACTAGCTAAGGTTACGAAGTCTGTGGGTCTTAAAGGTAAGACCTCGTAGTCTGTAAGTCTTAGTAGCAAGACCCAATATAGTCTGTTGGTCTTACTAGCAAGACTTAGTAGTCTATAAGTAGCGAGATAAGTTTTGTCGACAATATATGTAATGCCTTTAATATTATATACAACAGAGAATTGTGTACTAAATTTTGAAAATTGAATCTGCCATGAATTAAACGCAGGCTTCCAGGGGAGACAAATTTAAATAATTAGTTTAATACTATGTGTGAGAGTGAGGTACGTAAGGGGTGTGTAAATGTATATATGTATATATATATATATATATATATATATATATATATATATATATATATATATATATATATATATATATATATATATATATATATATATATATATATATATAGGAAGGGAGTACCACCTCTAGCTGGAAGAAGGGGGACCCATAGCCTCGGAGGAAACCACGCATAACGCATTAGAGGGAATGTTTAGATCCCCTCCAATACAGTTTGTGGGTTTTTCTCCTACCACCCCCTTCCTTGAATATTTTTTGTGCTTTATTATGCATTTGATGGTTACAAGATATACATGGGTTGATACAAAAATAATAATGCAAAAAGGTGCTTAAAGGTTATGGATCTCTTGAAGAACACAACAATGGGAAACATTGATGAATGTCACAGACGGGTTCGATCATTGTTGCAAGTCAAACACTTCTTCGAATTCCTCTGAAGTTGGACTAGTGCCCAAGACGCAACAGGCATTTCCCCTCTGAATCGCAACACTGAGGCGCTGGAACAAGAAACTTTTTGCTCTCTGGTCTTTTGTAGCGCTGATCAATTTGTCCCCCAATTCCTTCAGGAACTTCAATGCACATTTTCCCCACGAACCGAGGGTCTCCGAGCCGATCGGAACAAAGCTGTAGCAGTGTGCTAGACCTCTGTATTTAATAATTTTCTGCGATTCCCTGAAAGAAGCAGCACCACCGCTTTCACGTGTGCTGTAGTGGAGGTAGGTACTGGCCAGTGTGGCAGCGCACGTGTAGTCCCATACCACTTGCTTACCATCCTTCCAAGGTAGCAAGGTGACCCCATCAGGGCGCTTCTGAGGGTCGTTAGGTCTGGATAAGTGTGGTTCTCTTTGTGCCGGGCAGCGGGCTGTGGCGAGGCTCCTCTTGATGATGTCGTTGACTTCTTCATGTCTTGCAATTTTACCCTGTGATTTACGACATACCAGACCATGACGACCATATTGGTCTGCCATCGCAGTTCCGCAGATGCACCTATGTTCGGTGAGGATGGGGGCGGCAAGGCGAAGGGCAACTCCAATGCGGAGAGCGTCATGACTGAGGCGAGTTCCCAGGGCTGCATTGGGCAAAGCAAATAAAAATCCCCGGCGTGGGGTGCTGTTACCGCTAGGAGGCGGGCTTTGTTTTCAGCATCAGCGTTGTCAATCATTGCTGTGACAGTCTTTTCCATTATGGGGCTATCCCAGTGAGCCTGCTTGTGGTCTTTTGGGACTTGTGGTCGGGGTTGAGGGTGTGCAATGGTGTCCCATTGTCTGGCTGCTTCGATGAACGTTTGATCATGAGTTCCCGCTGTCTCTCTCATACGCTCTGGTAGGATCTGCCCTACCAATTCGTTGGCTGCTGTACATGAGGATAAGAATGCTGGAAGTGCTACCTCAGTTGCCTTTCGTATGCCTATCCCTCCAAATCTCACTGGTAGTGTTGCTTGGTCCCACTGACTGTCATCTAAATCTAGGTTGAGGGCCTTCCTGAATATTGACCTGAGGAGCTCATCATATTGATTTAGAAGTGGGTTGCCAAAAGTTGGTGCACACCTTAAGAAGTATGTTAGCCTGGGCAGGGTAAGGCACTTTGTGAGAAGGTAGAGGGCATCGTGGGAGTCCAAGTCCCCAATTCTCTCTTCCATCCTCTTTAGGTCTCTAAACTTTTCGTCAAGGACTGCAGCAATGGCATTGTGGCCCAGAGGTGGCCAATGGCATTGTGGCCATATATATATATATATATATATATATATATATATATATATATATATATATATATATATATATATATATATATATATATATAATACTATTCGAAGGATTGCAAAGTATTAGAAACGAAATCAAACCATTAGATCCACAAGTGCTGGTCTGTTGAAAGCTTATGGTCACAGAAGAAACGTAACACCTGAATTTAAAGAAACATTTTAATGTAATTATTTTGGTATTATTATTATTATTATTATTATTATTATTATTATTATTATTTTTATTATTATTATTATTATTTTTTATTATTATTATTATTATTTTATTATTATTATTATTTTTATTATTATTATTATTTTTATTATTATTATTTTGTGCAGGAATATACTTCTCTGGGCCCTAAGGCTCGAGCTGGCTCACTAAGTGTTACTTATTTTAGTTTGACTTAGGCGGTGTATATTTATGACTCGTTTGATTTAATGTAATCTTTATGTAAATGATATTACTATGTATTACATCACTTAGTAAACTTTATTGATTTACATAAGAACTTGAGTCATTTATAGTGAACAAGTTCGTTCATAATTTTATAGCCTTTAGAGTGTGTTGTGTTTGATTTTCAAATATTCATTTGTTATTCTTAGTTATCAGCGGCGTTATTTGACTATCTTAAATAAATATATTAAAAAAAATTATCCTTTCAATACTTTGTACATTCGCGACTTTTAAACGATAATTTAATTATTTATTTCTGATTCGTGGTATTATTTCCGTAGCTCGGCCAGTTTCTCAAAATCATTTAGACAAATTTACTGACCGAAACTATATGCAATATTTCCGACTTGACGTACCAATGAAATGTATATATATGATGACTTTGAGAAATTTGGGAATGCGACTTTGATAGTCATAGTTTGGACGAGCATAGTCTATGAATTGCTTGATTGACTTAGCTTTAAGTCATATCTTAAAGCCACTGTCAATCTCAGGACGTTTGTTTCACTTTATTTAATTAGATTGATGGGCGTATCCAATAGCTTGCTTTTAAATGATTTACTCCAATGTATGACCGGTATACTAACCATCACCGGAACCACCATCAACAACAGCCAATTATATCCGGGACCACCAACAACCCGGGAAGACAAACCACAAGCAAACGACCAGACATCACCAGACAACCACCAACCACGACCAACAACCACCGCCAATCTACCAACCAACTCGTAGACAACCTCGCACAAAGACCCGCCCTGACACTCTTTCTCACGGGGAATTTAAAAAGAAATAAAAACATTTGATCATTCTGATTTCCGGCATTTCTCATGCCCACTTTACCATCGTTTATATCTTGCGAATTGCTCGTTAACTCTCAGTGGTTCCAGGAATAAACTCGTCACTCTCTGGGCTCACCAGAGCTGCATCAATTCCTCTCTGCCTCCTCTAAACCAACGAACGCCATTTTGCAAACCTACATTTTTTACTTCTCAGAGATGAGGTAATGTTTTATATACAAACACATTTGGAACTTTTCCTTCTTATTCGGTCTCTCTCTCTCTCTGCTCTCTCTCTCTCTCTCTCTCTCTCTCTCTCTCTCTCTCTCTCTCTCTCTCTCTCTCTCTCTCTCTCTCCTAACCAATTGGACTGGACGGTAGAGCGACGATCTCGCTTCATGTAGGTTGGCGTTTAATCCCCGACCGTCCAAGTGGTTGGGCACCATTCCTTTTCCCCGTCCCATCCTAAATCCTAATCCTGACCCCTTCCAAGTGCTTTATAGTCGTATGGCTTGGCGCATTCTCTTGATAGTTCCCTTTCCTTCTCTCCCTCTTTCTCATATATATATATATATATATATATATATATATATATATATATATATATATATATATATATATATATATATATATATATATATATATTTATATGACAGTGTCAGACCACGGAGGAAAATTGAAACAGGAATTTCCTTAAGTACTTTCGTATATTAATACAGCTTCAGAAGAGTCCTTTTGAAGCTGTATTAATATACGAAAGTACTTAAGGAAATTCCTGTTTCAATTTTCCTCCGTGGTTTGACACTGTCACATTTTTAATCACGTGTTTATTTTCGTGATTTGCACACACACACACACACACACACACACACACACACACACACACACACACATATATATATATATATATATATATATATATATATATATATATATATATATATATATATATATCATATATTTGGAAAACGGGCTCCGAAGCGCTCGAGAAGATTTGCATAATGGGAGGATTTAGTGTTTACAATTTATGAAACCTATCTTGTGGAGACGAGCTTGAAATGACAGTCCTTTGGGATGACCATCCCCCCAGGCGCGCATGTAAACTTTGGGATGACCATCCCCCCAGGCGCGCATGTAAACTTTGGGATGACCATCCCCCCAGGCGTGCATGTAAACAAATATACAGACAACATTCGGCTTTTTCAATGCATTGTAACTGTACAATGTCGGGAAGGTTCGTTATTAGCACCTTGATACAGAGGTCACGTTGTTGTCAATTATTTCCAACAATATTTCTCAGTATTACCACTCAGAAGTAGTTCCTGTCATGAAGTCTCATAGGAGAGATTCTGTTTATTTTATGCCCTGTTCAGCGGTGGTAGAATGATTAATTTAATTTTGATGGCCTCTTCCACAATATATTCATTTGAGAAGTCGACGTCGACACTACTATACTCACGTCGACACGACGTCGACAATATCTACTAATCTACTGAGCTTCTCATCAACCTGCTTCCACCTGAAGCTGTGCGAACGAACACGGACATCAACATCAGCAACACAACACATCAACAACACAACCCCTTTGTACCGAGTCCGGCGCCCACATCAACACAACCCCTTGTACCGACTCCGGCGCCCACAACAACACAACCCCTTGTACCGACTCCGGCGCCCACATCAACACAACCCCTTGTACCGACTCCGGCGCCCACATCAACACAACCCCTTTGTACCGACTCCGGCGCCCACATCAACACAACCCCTTGTACCGACTCTGGCGCCCACATCAACACAACCCCTTTGAACCGACTCCGGCGCCCACATCAACACAACCCCTTTGTACCGACTCCGGCGCCCACATCAACACAACCCCTTGTACCGACTCCGGCGCCCACATCAACACAACCCCTTGTACCGACTCCGGCGCCCACATCAACACAACCCCTTGTACCGACTCGGACGCTCACATCAACACAACCCCTTGTACCGACTCCGGCGCCCACAACAACACAACCCCTTGTACCGACTCCGGCGCCCACATCAACACAACCCCTTGTACCGACTCCGGCGCCCACAACAACACAACCCCTTGTACCGACTCCGGCGCCCACATCAATACAACTCTTGTACCGACTCCGGCGCCCACATCAACACAACCCCTTGTACCGACTCCGGCGCCCACATCAACACAACCCCTTGTACCGACTCCGGCGCCCACAACAACACAACCCCTTGTACCGACTCCGGCGCCCACATCAATACAACTCTTGTACCGACTCCGGCGCCCACATCAACACAACCCCTTGTACCGACTCGGACGCTCACATCAACACAACCCCTTGTACCGACTCCGGCGCCCACATCAACACAACCCCTTTGTACCGACTCCGGCGCCCACAACAACACAACCCCTTGTACCGACTCCGGCGACCACATCAACACAACCCCTTGTACCGACTCGGACGCTCACATCAACACAACCCCTTGTACCGACTCCGGCGCCCACATCAACACAACCCCTTGTACCGACTCCGGCGACCACATCAACACAACCCCTTGTACCGACTCCGGCGCCCACAACAACACAACCCCTTGTACCGACTCCGGCGCCCACATCAACACAACCCCTTGTACCGACTCCGGCGCCCACATCAACACAACCCCTTTGTACCGACTCCGGCGCCCACATCAACACAACCCCTTGTACCGACTCTGGCGCCCACATCAACACAACCCCTTTGTACCGACTCCGGCGCCCACATCAACACAACCCCTTTGTACCGACTCCGGCGCCCACATCAACACAACCCCTTGTACCGACTCCGGCGCCCACATCAACACAACCCCTTGTACCGACTCCGGCGCCCACATCAACACAACCCCTTGTACCGACTCGGACGCTCACATCAACACAACCCCTTGTACCGACTCCGGCGCCCACATCAACACAACCCCTTGTACCGACTCCGGCGCCCACATCAACACAACCCCTTTGTACCGACTCCGGCGCCCACAACAACACAACCCCTTGTACCGACTCCGGCGCCCACATCATACAACTCTTGTACCGACTCCGGCGCCCACATCAACACAACCCCTTGTACCGACTCCGGCGCCCACATCAACACAACCCCTTGTACCGACTCCGGCGCCCACAACAACACAACCCCTTGTACCGACTCCGGCGCCCACATCAATACAACTCAAGTAACGACTCCCGCGCCCACAGCAACACAACCCCTTGTACCGACTCGGACGCTCACATCAACACAACCCCTTGTACCGACTCCGGCGCCCACATCAACACAACCCCTTTGTACCGACTCCGGCGCCCACAACAACACAACCCCTTGTACCGACTCCGGCGACCACATCAACACAACCCCCTTGTACCGACTCGGACGCTCACATCAACACAACCCCTTGTACCGACTCCGGCGCCCACATCAACACAACCCCTTGTACCGACTCCGGCGACCACATCAACACAACCCCTTGTACCGACTCCGGCGCCCACAACAACACAACCCCTTGTACCGACTCCGGCGCCCACAACAACACAACCCCTTGTACCGACTCCGGCGCCCACATCAACACAACCCCTTGTACCGACTCCGGCGCCCACAACAACACAACCCCTTGTACCGACTCCGGCGCCCACAACAACACAACCCCTTGTACCGACTCCGGCGCCCACATCAACACAACCCCTTGTACCGACTCGGACGCTCACAACCAGGTACATTCTTATGCATGTTTCCGTCGGGAAGAGTGACGCGTGGACGACACCGGTCCTCTCCAACATTATTACATCGAGGAAGGTCGCTGCAGTGGAAGGTTCGAGGTCTGAAGTGGAAGGTTCGAAGTCTCAAGTGGAAGTCTGAAGTGGAAGGTTCGAAGTCTGAAGTGGAAGGTTCGAAGTCTCAAGTGGAAGGTTTGAAGTCTGAAGTGGAAGGTTTGAAGTCTGAAGTGGAAGGTTTGATGTCTGAAGTGGAAGGTTCGAAGTTTGAAGTGGAAGGTTTGAAGTCTGAAGTGGAAGGTTTGAAGTCTGAAGTGGAAGGTTTGAAGTCTGAAGAAGAAGATTTGAAGTCTGAAGAAGAAGATTTGAAGTCTGAAGTGGAAGGTTTGAAATGTGCAATGGAAGGTTTGAATTCTGAAGTGAAGGAAGAAAAGCAGCAGTAATGCAACTCAGCTCGGTGACGAACGACGGCAGTTTGGAATTGCAAAGGTTGCAGATGAATTTTGAGTGGAGTAAATTTGAATCGCGACGAGATTACAAGCAGAAAAGAAGGACAGAGAAAGATAGAGAGAGAGAGAGCATTTTCAAGAATGTGTTGAAGAACACACACACACACACACACACACACACACACACACACACACACACACACACACACACCACACACACACACACACACACACATACACACACACACATACACACACACACACACACACACACATGTGCGTACAGCTCGATCCTGTAGACACAAGGGGCCGGGCGGACACTGCTCAGGAGAACAAAGAACAAAGGGCCGATGGAGAAACTAATGGGCAGGGTTTCTTTCACCTGGTGTCTACGCTCACCAAGTCTTAAATTGGACGGGAGCAGCACATAACACAACAGGCGGTAAGAAAGGCGGGGTCCAAGAGCTAACAGCGCGATCTTGTAGCTACACATAATAAATACACACACACATACACCCATACACAATCACAAATACACAAACGTAAGCACACTAAACAAACTATGTGTGTCTCTGTACTTACAAAACTGTGACTACATAATTCTATATTCTTAGATTGATGTAGTGTGGTGTGCATATGTACTTAGAGTGTAATACACGCTAATATACAATACAAGTGTATAAAGCAACATTGCACATTCTCTTGAAATGACAAATGCAGCATTAAGATAGCTACCGTACCTTTGCATACACGGGAATAAGGAAGCCATCTCTGGCTCGGGAAACAACAATGGGAACCACCTAACCAAGCTGTCAGTTCCTATGCACCACGAGGAGCTATAATTGTTGTATCATTTGGGCATCAAAGAAATTACTGGAACTGGTTAGCAAATGCGCTTTATACTTTCACGGCGCAAGATCAAGCGGCTGCCCAGCAGACCAGCGCGGCTCCTGCCCAGCAGACCAGCGCGGCTCCTGCCCAGCAGACCAGCGCGGCTCCTGCCCAGCAGACCAGCGCGGCTCCTGCCCAGCGCTCTGCTTTCTGCGCGAACCAAGTACTCCTCTTTTGCCGGAGTCTGAACCACAAAATTTGTGCCGAGAGACACTCACAGCAACAGCCATTTGCATGCATTACGTATAACGCTGAAGCACAATCGACATTTTCTGCAGTTATTTGCTTCGGAAAATGCAATACATGGCAAATTTGGTAGCCTGTGCAGGAAGTGAACATGCGGCCTCCGTGTCCCTCACGCTTCATAAACAACCTTGTTCTTGCGGCCTCCGTGTCCCTCACGCTTCATAAACAACCTTGTTCTTGCGGCCTCCGTGTCCCTCACGCTTCGTAAACAACCTTGTTCTTGCGGCCTCCGTGTCCCTCACGCTTCATAAACAACCTTGTTCTTCCACACACACTTCCAGCGCCTCCGTAATTGTTACTTACCTTAGAGTGATCACTCAGTCGAATTGTGCAGTAGATTTCACTCGTTATTATCGGTTATCTTCCCTGTACCACGTTCAGGGAGGGGGTAGTAGGTAGGTGGGTAGGAGTAGGTAGAGGGTAGGTAGGAGGGTAGGTAGGAGTAGGTAGAGGGTAGGAGGGTAGGTGGGCAACCTCCCGAGACTGCAGGCTGCCTACGTTCCTACCACGTTCAGACGATATATTAATCGTGCAGTTATTTCCAGCCTCAAGAGATCGTTTCATCCAAATTCTTCGTCGTATATTTCATGTGTGTGTGTGTGTGTGTGTGTGTGTGTGTGTGTGTGTGTGTGTGTGTGTGTGTGTGTGTGAGTGTGTGTGTGTGTGTGTGAGTGTGTGTGTGTGTGTGTGTGTGTGTGTGTGTGTGTGTGTGTGTGTGTGTGTGTGTGTGTGAGTGTGTGTGTGTGTGTGTGTGTGTGTGTGTGTGTGTGTGTGTGTGTGAGTGTGTGTGTGTGTGTGTGTGTGTGTGTGTGTGTGTGTGTGTGTGTGTGTGTGTGTGTGTGTGTGTGTGTGTGTGTGTGTGTGTGTGTGTGTGTGAGTTGGGTTATTTGTTTCAACCACGTTCTGGTGTGACTTTCTTTCTGGTCAGCATTTGTTATTGCAGGGTTTCTGTAATGCCGGAAATATTACATTTATATTAAAATCAAACTTAATTTTTTATATAATTAACCTCGCATCATGACTAATTATAATTCCTGGGTTTTACATAAATATCTTGCTGACGATTCCTACAATAAGATTCCATTCAGTTCGCAAACTTACTGTCTTGTCAATGCCGACTCTTACGGAGTTATGGTTTTTCGTTTAACTTTCAAACAACTTTCTCTGATAACTCGGAGTATCGTAATCTTTCATATTCCGAATCCTTCTAACTTCTCACTCGTGTTCCGAGTAACTTTCGCCAGACACAACCTGGACAACATTTTCTATCAATCATTTTTATGGGTCGCATCCTTTTCGATATTCCTCATGTGTGCCTTTCTCACACGCACGCACGCGCGCACACACACACACACACACACACACACACACACACACACACACACACACACACACACACACACACACACACACACACACACACACACACACACACACACACATGTAGGATTGTACGATTCTCCAAGAGGACTTGAACAGGTTACAGAGATGGTCAGAGAACTGGCTACTGGAGTTAAACACGAGCAAATGTAAAGTTATGGGAATGGGATTAGGTGATAGGAGACCAGAGGGACAGTACACAATGAAGGGGAGCTGCCTACCTGTGACAATTCGAGAGAGCGACCTGGGAGTGGACGTATCACCTAATTTAACTCATGAAGCACATATAAATAAGATATCTAGAACAGCGTACTCTACACTGGCAAAAGTTAGAACATCATTCAGAAACCTAAGTGAGGAGGCATTTAGGGCGCTTTACACTGCTTACGTGAGACCAGTCTTAGAGTATGCCGCGCCATCATATAGTCCCCACCTGAAAAAAGACATAAGGAAACTGGAAAAGGTTCAGAAGTTTGCAATGAGGCTCGTCCCAGAGCTAAGAGGAATGGGATATGAAGAGCGCCTGAAGGAACTGAGCCTTACAACACTAGAAAAAAGAAGAGAGGGGGGGAATATGATAGAAAGTATAAAACACTCAGGGGAATTGACAGAGTGGACATAGATGAAATGTTCACACGTAATAGTAACAGAACGAGGGGACATGGGTGGAAACTGGAAACTCAGATGAGTCACAGAGATGTTAGGAAGTTTTCCTTTAGCGAGAGAGTAGTGGAAAAATGGAATTCACTTAGGGAACAGGTTGTGGAAGCAAATTCTATTCATCATTTTAAAACTAGATATGATAGGGAAATGGGACTGGAGTCATTGCTGTAAACAACCGATGGCTAGAAAGGCGGGATCCAAGAGTCAATGCTCTATCCTGCAAGCACAAGTAGATGAGTACAAATTGTTGAGTACAATTTTTCACAAGTGTGATAGAGCTCGAGAAGCTCAGGAGTGCACCAGAAGATTGACGGTAGAGAGGCGGGACCAAAGAGCCGAAGCTCAACCCCCGTAAACACAACAATGTCAGACCACGGAGGAAAATTGAAACAGGAAATTTCCTTAAGTACTTTCGTATATTAATACATCTTCAGAAGGAGTCAAATTTTCCTCCGTGGTCTGACACTGTCACATTTTTAATCACGTGTTTATTTTCGTGATACACACACACACACAAACACACACACACACACACACACACACACACACACACACACACACACACACATATATATATATATATATATATATATTTTGGTAGCAGTCTTTCCTGTAGACATATTTTATTAAATATGACCGAAAAAGTAAGATTAATAATTCTAACACGAATTTTCTCAATCTTTCGTACATTATGCTTCACTGTTGGAGGTAAATCAAAAATCACTTCTCCAAAATTCATTTTTTATTTCTAGTCTGACGCGACACGGGCGCGTTTCGTAAAACTTATTACATTTTCAAAGACTTCACAAATACACAACTGATTAGAACTTGCGTTTCCCTGATTTTATATCTACATTTGAGTGAGGTGGGAAGGGTGATGTGGCATTACATTTGAGTGAGGTGGGAAGGATGATGTGGCATTAACACAAGACAGAACACTAGAGGATATTAATAGGGTATTAAAAGTATCAACACAAGACAGAACACGAAACAATGGATATTGAATAGAAGTGTTTGTAGAAAGCCTATTGGTCCATATTTCTTGATGCTTCTATATTGGAGCGGAGTCTTGAGGTGGGTAGAATATAGTTGTGCAATAATTGGCTGTTGATTGCTGGTGTTGACTTCTTGATGTGTAGTGCCTCGCAAACGTCAAGCCGCCTGCTATCGCTGTATCTATCGATGATTTCTGTGTTGTTTACTAGGATTTCTCTGGCGATGGTTTGGTTATGGGAAGAGATTATATGTTCCTTAATGGAGCCCTGTTGTTTATGCATCGTTAAACGCCTAGAAAGAGATGTTGTTGTCTTGCCTATATACTGGGTTTTTTGGAGCTTACAGTCCCCAAGTGGGCATTTGAAGGCATAGACGACGTTAGTCTCTTTTAAAGCGTTCTGTTTCGTGTCT